GGTAGCTCAGCTGTACTCATAGGTCGCCCGGAGACTGACCAGATGCAGATGCAAGTCCTCACTGCTGACAATTGGGACCCTATTTAGACTTAATTTATCTCTGTTCCTTAGCCTCAACACAAGTCCTTTAGGGCAGGAGGCTTAAATTGGGTGGTTCCTCAGGGACAGAGAGGGGACAAATGAATACAAATTGTCAGAGCTTCAAGGTAACTTGACGTGTATTTCTCCCTCTGAGATCCTTCAAGGGCACCCACTTACAGGTTTCCAGCTCCCAGCTGTCACCTCTCCTGGGCAGAGATTGGCATCTCACTCCCTTCTGACCAGGGTTTTAAAGCCGCACAGCTGCTCCCTGATCTATGCTGTGATATTCCCAGCAAGTTAGTCTGCCTAAGAGACTAGCACCTGCAATTTTCTGTCATTCTGAGGGCTATGGACAGTTTATCGCCAGTGGTTTTCAAGTTTCCACACAGCTCCTTTTAAGCAAGCAGCTTTATTCCTCCTTATAGAGAGAACATATTGTTATGATCAAAGAACCTAAATGCATGCTAAAAAGCTATCTCCAACTCCAACATAGGGCTCTGAGAGGTGTCAGTCCTTCAAATCCCACAACTGGGTTTTCCCTGTGGTGACACATACATATCAGTCTTTAGATCAGTAACCAGGATAAATGCCCTGAGTCAATTGAAGCTCAAGCTATTTATGCAAAAGACCTTCCTTTGTCTGTTGGTCTCTGGGGAATCCAGTTTGAACCAAGCAACCCTTCCCAGGAGGTGGTGCCTCCCTGGAGGTGTTATAACCTGAGTAATTTGCCTTGATCATCCCCTACTGTTTTCATTTCCTGGTGGAGCTGTGGTAACCCTCCTCCCCCACCCCTCAGAGTGCATACAATCCTGGCCCACAATGATATATAAACCATTCATACACTTAATATCATATGGTCTCCCAAAGATATTGCAGGAACTTGCCTTATTTGTCACACATACTACATAAAACTAATAAATTTATTAGAGCATAAGCTTTCGTGGACTACAGCCCACTTCTTCGGATGCATATGCTCTAATAAATTTGTTAGTCTCTAAGGTGCCACAAGTACTCCTGTTCTTCTTTTTGAGGATACAGACTAACACGGCTGTTACTCTGAAATCTATAAAACTAATGTCTATCGTAGATGAATAACTGTTAAAAGGCACAACGGCTAGAAAGAGGGAAAGCTTTGCAGTGTGTTCATGCATAAGAATAAACGTAAAAATGGGCTTGTACATGCACTGGATTATTTCTGGTCATTAGACGTTATTCCCAGTTGTATGTGTCTGCTTGCTGAAGGAAAGAATGCCCCTGGGGAAAACAATTACTGTTGAATATTACACCGAGAATTAACTGCCTCATCACCCCGTTAAGATTTGTCAGCATTCTAAGAGCAGCATAAAACACGTCTCAAACATTTTGAAAGCATTGTCTTGCACAGAATGCTGAGAGGCTCAGGAGCAGGCAATGACATACATTCCTTTGTTTCAAACAACGCCCTCTCCTGTTACACTGCAATTCATTACTGCAAGTTTTTACTCCTGTTTTCTTTTGTGCACTGTTTCTTCAATATTAAACTCCTGAAGCTGGGATGCTGTGAATTTCCACATACGATACAAATTTTAAATATTGTGTAAAACAGAATTACACTTAATACGAAGTTAATTCTTGGTCTCTGCAAGGTGGGCCTATTCCTCCAAAGAACTGAACACCTGCTCTGAAGTGCTGAGAGCCTTAAACTCCTGTTGAACACAAATTTCAATGGACTCAATAAATCTTCAGTGGGCAGTCAGCACTGTAAGGAAATGCAATGAAATCAATGGGGCCACTCACAGTAGGAAAGTTAAGCACATGCTTAACTGTTTGCACGATCCGAGCCTACAATTGCAGCATTTAGCAAGGGCTGTAAAGAGTAATTACAATAACTGAGAATTGTATTGTCTGTACCATATGATAAAGGTAACTGCGTAGCTGTAATATACTTAGGTTTGGGAAGATGTTTGACTTAGTATTGGACAACATTCTGATTAAAAACTGAGCACTATGCAATATGGATAAAGCATTAACTAGACTGAGACCAGGCTAACTCTGGGAAGTGATGTTCAGATAGAGGGTTTTCTAGTGGCGTTCCACAGGGATCAGTATTAGGCCAAATGTGATTTAATGTTTTTATCAATGACCTGGATATCAATAAGAAATCGCTGCTCATTACACCTGTGATGAGACACAGATGGATGGAGTGGTGAATCATGATGAGGACAAAGCAGCCAGACAGATTGATTTGGATTGCTTGGTAAGCTGGGCCCACTCAAACAAAAATGCATTTGAATACTGCCCATTTGAAGGTCTTACATCTAGGTACAAAGAATGCAAGGGGGCTGTATCCTGGAAACAAGTGACTGCAAAGGATTTAGTAGTCATAGTGGACAACAACTGAATGTGAGCATCCAGTGAGATGCTGTGGCAGAAGACTAATGCAATCCTTGGCTGCCTAGAGAGGGGAGTAGTGAGTAGGAGTAGGCAGGTGATTTTACCTCTGTATATGGCATTGGTGACACTGATAATGATATACGGTGTCCAGTCCTGGTGCTCACATTTTAAAAAAGATTTTGAAAAACTGGAGATGGGGCAGAAACGAGCCTTAAAAACTCTTTGAGGGCTGGAGAAAACACTTTACAATGAGAGGCTTAAAGAGCTCAGTCTGTTCAGTTTATCAAATAAGAGTTAAAAGCAACTGGAGTACAGTGTATAGGTACTTTCCTGGGGAGAAAATACCAGGTATCATAGGGTTCTTCAGTCTAATGGCATAGCAAGAACCAGTGGCTGGCAGTTAAAACCAGACAAACCCAAATTAGAAATAAAGAAAAAAAAATGTAACTGTGAGCATGATTAACCATTGGAGCAAATTGCCAAGGGAAGTGTTGGATTCTCCATCTCTTATGATCCTCAAATCAAGACTGGATGCTGTGATGGGGTAAACAGACCCTACACCAGCATGCAAGGGATTAGGGAGCTGCTTTCACTTGAAGTGCCCCCACCCTTCTGCATCTGCAAATCAGGGCCTGGAGAGGGGGGGTTAAAAAGAGGGAACTCCACTCAGCTGGGGTTACCCTTGGGACGGGAACAGACTGTTAGCTTGCCAGTGCCCAGAGAGAAGTCTGGCAGCCAAAAAAGTCTCTGCCATCACAGAAAGGAGAACACCAATCCCCTGGGCTAACAAGGAGCAGAGATTTACACTGAAGACATTCCCTCGCCCCTGCTCCCCTCCGCCCCCGGCAGGGCCGGCTCTAGGCACCAGCAAAACAAGCTGGTGCTTGGGGCGGCACATTTTTAGGGGCGGCATGGCCGGCGCCAGAATGCCGCCCCTAAAAATGTGCCCCGGCCGCCCTAGCTCACCTCCGCTGCTACTGCCACGGCGCGCAAAACAGCTGATTCGCGCGCCCCTGCTCCCCCTCCCTCCCAGGCTCTCAAGCCTGGGAGGGAGGGGGAGCAGCGGC